TGGCGCTTTATTGTTTGGCATGCTTTTTAATGCTGCCTGAACGTCAGCTGTAGACAGCGGTGAGTCCAGGGTCGCTCTTTGACTCTCTGATAATTTAGGAAGAGTTATTTTATCCAGAAATCGCTTAATATCATTATCTGATGCATTTAACTGTGATGTGTATAAAGATTTATAGAAATCTGGGAAGGCATTATTAATATCCTCCGGATCCTGTAATGTATTACCAATTGGATCTGTAAATGCAAATATAGTCGTTTTTTCTTTGTTTATTTTTAGCTGATTAGCTAAGAAACTTCCTGATTTATTGCTATGTTCAAAGTTGTCAATTCGGAGTCTTTGAATTAAAAGACTTTTGTTTTTCAATAAATTCGTTTAGTTCTAGTTTTATTTTACGGATTTCCCCTAATATTTCCTCATCTAGCGAGCTTTCTAGAAACTTTATTTTTCCCTCTAATTCCTGGATCTTTTTTTGTTCTAACTTTTTTTTATGAGATGAGAATGAAATAATTTTACCTCTCATCACTGCTTTTCCTGCTTCCCATAGTATAGATGCTGATGTTCCTGGTAAATCATTGCACACCAAGTATGATGCCCACTCTTCCTTGAAAAATTTGAGAAACTCTTCATGTTTAAGCAGTGACGTATTTAATCTCCAGCTCTTGTTTTGTGGGGCTATTTCTTTATTTATTAGGGTTAAAGTAACAGGAGCATGATCTCTGACAGCAATAGGATGGATTACAGCATCTGAGACATCAGCGAGCTGCTGATTAGGAAATAGTCCAAACGAGAGTAGAAATGATGGACATTAGAAAAGAAAGTGTATTCCTTACTGTTAGGATGAAGAGATCGCCATGCATCGCAAAGACCAAAATCACTCATGTATTGTTTGACTATATTTAATGATTGCTTCAATGAGTCCCTGTTGTATTCAACCTGTCTATTTCTCCATTTAGACCAAAGTTGAGGTCACCCCCAATAATTAGAGAACAATCCCCGTGCTTTGAAAGTGCATGAAAAACTTAGTGGAAGAATGAGGGGTTGTCAACATTTGGACCATATATGCTGACAATACATAACATTTGGTTATGAATAGATATTTTAATTATGATGAATCTGCCTTCAGGATCTATAATTTTGTCTAATAAAGTAAAACAGGTTTTTGTGGATTAAAATTGCTACTCCTCTCTGTCTAGAGTTAAAGCAGGCTGCAAAAATCAGGGAACTCAGGGGAGTTAAGATCACTTATAGATGCCGCTGATTTATGGGTTTCTTGCAATAAGACAACATCTGCATTTAATCTTTTAAGCTGGTTAAAAATCTTAAGCTTTTTCTCTCTGGTGCCAGCCCCATGCACATTCCATGTCACAAACCTTACATTCACCATAGGTGTGAGTGAGAAGATGAAAAGTACATGCCTCTGAATAAAGAGTTATACCTAGACCCAGGTAGCATTAAACTGTGTGCTTGCGATTGTGTGGACCACAGGGAAGAAGCAGACGAATAAGGAAAAGAAAGACAGAAAATTAAGAGAGTGCAATGAGTAAGAAAAGGTGAAAGAAGAAGAACCCCAGCCCATGCATTCTGTACCCAGTTGTAACTAACAATCATACCGTGCAAACGTGAATCCGATGAGCTTTCAATCAACTAAACATAATGAGATCAGATACTGAGAAAATGTTTCATCGGAAAGTGTGCATTTAGAAAAAATGTAAAAAGCAAGACAGTATCTGAAAAAATAACAGAAATTTTATAGAAACTTAGCACCAATGTTTTAGTACTAAATAACCTGACCAAAACTTCAAAATGTAAAACCTATAGAACCAGATTCTAAATTTCATTCAAAATACATAATTTTTACCATCATTATGATAAAAATGGGTTCAGTTTACAAGAAAAACCATACCTCGAAAATCAACCATATTTAAGGGGATGTTTCCAAAAATAGTAGTCTGCATCAGGTTCCAGAAAATCTTCCTAGAAAACGTGTATTTCCTACAGATATTCCTGTTTGCTCACTGTTTCAGTTGTTATTTTAGCTCCAACCAAACAGAACCTCAGAAATCATCCAGATGCTGAGGATTTGTTCTTATGAACCAACTAGAAAACACAAAAATCTACAAAACTAGATAATAAAAACAGTCCTACCTTTGTTTTTGTTTTTCTGTCGCTGATGATGGGAAATCTTGACATCACTGTAAGTAAGGTCATCTTCTTCAACTTGTGGATGACCTGAAATTAAAGTTAATGTATAACAATCTTTTTTTTTAAACAGTTTCGGATGGTTGCTTGAAATTACTATATATATATATATATATATATATATATATATATATATA